TTTCGATTTTGTCTTGTCACGTTTATTATTGAATCAACGAAGCCTCCAGACAAAAGTGTCATGTAGTTAGGTGATGTGGTGGGTAGCAGAAAAATCGAAGAGAAGAAATAGAACGATAGCAAAAATTCGTTATTCGACTCGTTGTTTTCATTTCCTCTTTATTGAGTCGTAATACCATTTATATTAGAAGTGGATGAAAGGCAAAACTACCAAATTATTGCATTCTTATATATTATATTGTTCACGCTAAGGTGTTTTGTGTTGGACTTTCAATCACAAAAACAATGCCACCCTCTTATCGCATTACGATTAGATTCTCGTCGATGAAGCGTATAAAAAATAAAATTTGAGAGTTACCTTAACATTATATTCATTAAGATGGTCAGCTTTATATTTTGATTTGCTCTTGTTTCAACTACATATGTAGTACAATAAATTATCAATTTATTTTCTTTCTATAATGAACCAATAGCTGAATAATGTTCTATTTCATGGTTGATATTAATAAAATACAAAAGGTTAATTTTTAATTAAAAATGATAATTCATAAAAAATAAATAATATTTTTATTTTTTATTTATTTAAATCAATGATTCAAAAACCTTAGTCAATATTTATAGAACTAGTTTTCCGCACGAACAATTCTTAAGTAATTTTAATGTTACGTTCATCAACAGTAATTCTTAAAATATATAAATAATAATTTAAAAAATAGAAAAAAATTTATAAGAGTGTAATGACATTTTTTTACAATAATAGTTTGTTTATATATTTAAAGAGCTATTTACAGTAAATTAAAAATAAATATAAGTAACAAATGTTATAAAAAACTTTTATAGGTAACAACAAAGCACGAACACAATTATACAACCACTAAGTTAATCTTTAGACCCAAGAGATGTAGTAGTATATTAAACCATTGAAAAAGTTTTTTAAAAACTATTTTATATTAACTTTTTAAATTGGCGAGAAAAAGATTTAAAAAAATATATACACTACGTGATATTTTTCATAAATATAGGCAAAGAATGAGTGTTATTTGATATTTTGAGTTATTTTATTTTTTAAATAAATTTTAAAAAATGTATATTTTAATAATAGAAAATATTTTATAACAGATAAATACATATCGCATGCACAACAATTAAAGCAGTAACTATAAAAATTCAATTTTGAGATTATGAGGTATTTGGATTTAGGTTTTACTCTTCTTATAATAACTTTCATTCAAATATCGAAAATTTGGTTTGAATCGGAATTAAACTACTTGGAAAACTAATAAAAATATAGAGTGTAATTGGAGAATCGGAATTTTATTTTTGACCTCCTGAAAAGTGAAAAAACTGCCTTAATCGTTGCGTCAATCGATATATATCAAACAAAAACCAAAAAAAAAATTTATTTTAAGAGAAATTTGAATTGTTAGTGTTAAGAAATCACACTGTATATATTTATATAATTTTATATAGATTTATAACATATTAGACACAATTACTCATACTAAACCAAACCCAAACTTAACTTTTATACTAATTATTAAAATTTGCAGATCCAAAAAGTTTTTCATTTGAGTATTCTATGAGCATTCTGTGCATGTAAATAGGATAGTAGCAAAGATAAGTATGAATTTGTTATGTGCAACATTTGCTATTCTAATTATGTTATTAAATTATAATACAATTTTTATTGTTACTAACTAACAGTATATTTTTCCAAAACTGATTATCGAATTGTTAGATTATAAAACAAAAATAGAATATTGGTCACTTATTATTTTTCAGAAACAAATGTGCATATTTATTTTTTTGGTAAGATTGTATTGTGTTTTTATCCTAATACTTCTTTCATTATTAATAGCTTACTTAATAATAATCTATTTTTTAATTAATATTTATTAAATAATCATCTACTTTTTAAACAGACATAAAATTGTAACACTAAAAGTTAATAAAAATATTTGACGCTCTTATTGAAATAATTTTACTAAATGTTGGAACCTTTTAACCCAGTACCCTCGATATGATTTAAGAAATTAACAATTTTAGTAACAATCCACATAATACTGAATAGATGATAATTTAAAGAAACTAAAGCTAATTATGAAATCATAAGTTAAATAAATTAATTTAATTGACAATTAACTAACCCTTGCTTTAAGAATCTAATAAGTGTCAAAAATCATCCGTTTTGAGTGATAGACTAGATGTTAAGAACAATTATTATTTTGATATTAAAATATTTTCTTATAGCTTAAGCCAATATTAATCATTATGAATTGAGTTCATTCTTTTATTTTTTATTGTATTTACATTTTTTTTTGTATCAGATCTAAATACAAAATAGGAATTTATATAGCCTATATTTAATGACTATTAAAAAATTAGTAGACATATACTTATACCAACTTTCCTATATTCAAATGGTTGTGTTTTGGAATAATTTAATAGATCCGATAGATTTTTAGAAAAACGTGCACAAAAGTATTCAAATGAATTCCGTTATGTAATTTAAAAATCATAGACAGTGCTGTATTCTAAAAAAAGAGTAGAAGTTTTAATTCGTAAAACATATTTTATTTCAGAATTACCAAGTTAAACTTACAAAATTGACTTATATAATACAATTTTACTATATTTTTCTTCTTGATAAAAATTTCTAGCTATAAAACATTTAGATTTTTTTTTATCAAAATTCTTATGTTAAAAATATAAATTGACAATCAAGTCGTCCAGTTATTCTACAAGTTATTTTTAATGACCAGTTGAATCATACGTAAATCATTATAAAAATAAATCAAGAAATTTCTACAGACGATCATAATAATTAGTTTCTTGTCACTCGGTTACTTTAGCGTATAAAAAGTTATAAGGAATTGACTAAGCTTACAGATCTCGAAAAATAATAGCCATACAAAAATCTTTATACATATTTCCGCGGTGTCTTGGTTTACACTGTTTGCATTACATTAACCTAAACACTACGTTTTGTTTGTATGTATACATTAAGAATAGTCGTCGCCCTTCTGCTTCAATTGTACAATAAAACAGTCTCTCCAACGTATTTGGATAATCCAGCGAAAAGTTGCGTAGTGGTTTTAAAACGTGACGAAATTGACAAACGTTTGCCTTTCTGCGGTACATTGCTTACATTCGCTTATTGTACAATGTCTACCTTATCGTTTTATTCCTTTTTATAATCCTAAAAATTTTTATAAGAAAAATAATAATAATACTTCTTCTTTAAATTTGATAGTCTAGAGAGTGATTTATTGCATAATCTCTTTTGTAAAAGAAATTCTATATGGACACTCTACAGAGTGTGTAACTACTCAACTTCAAATAAAGATTGGCGATGTTATTGCCAATTTACACGTTACTACAATAAATAATCTCTTTTTTATGAGAAAGTTAAAGACGATTACACAGAAGAATTTACGAGAATGTGGAATGAATAATTCCTAACTATTTTAAGTACTCTATGTATTTATTTAAAAAATCTAACCTTCTTATCATTTTTTCTGTAATAATTGTATGTTTTTCAAATTAAAATATAATGTATGAAAAAATTGTCAGTAATTAATTAGTAAAATTTTTTCTTGTCTTAGTGTATTTGTAAATTTAATATAAAGTGTTAGAAATTTAGTATCTATAAATTAAGTAGTCATGCTAATTAAGTAGTACAATTAGTATAAAATTGAAAAAATTTATGAATATTTTTACTATGATTATTGATTAGTAATAAATATGAACTGTATCTTTTTACAGACATATCTGTAAAGTAACAATAAAAATTGATATTTAACAAGTGCATATATTAAATATCAATTTCTTTTGTTACTCATCGTACATTTAAATAAAATTGTAAAAGGTTCTGATCTAACAAAATATTATGACACATAAAAAAAATAAAGTTGTTTTGATGTGCATATGTTATATCTATGATACATATTTAACAATTGTTATCTTATAAAGAATCAGCAAAAGATAATAATTTGTCGTAATAAATTCAACTATTTGGAATTTTCATACTATTTAAAATTAAATTATATCTTTCTAAGGTTATTTGGGATCAGTTAAAATTTGATTTTTCATTAAATTCTTCACGAACTATTTTTGTTTGACCATTCAAAAATCAGTTAGTTTTTAGACGATTTTTTTAAAACTTGAACAATTTAGATACATTTGGTATTTGTGAATTTTTTTTTGTAAATCATAATAATTTTATAAGCCTGTACGAAAAATAATGCTAGTAAAATTTGACTATATTTTTAATAGCTTATTTGTATACATGTATGTAAAAAATAATAATAACCAAATGGAAAGCAAAATTATTAAAAATAAATTTTACCACACCTGATAAACACTCATTTACATGTAAATATGTAACATGTAACTATGTGCTATTTACCACTTTTAAAATATATTTGATAGTTTCATATTGAAAATAATGTCTTTTCTTCTGTTTTTGTCGTCGCTTGTACTTTTATGTCTAACTCCATTGATTGGAAATTATTCACATGATTTACTGTGTTTCTACAATGACAAGGAAAATATTTTTATATAAATGCAGGCAATACTGTGTTGTCGTTTTACCTTTTTGTTATTACCGAAAAATCGACTTGTTGAATTTTCGGAACACAGGGATAAAAAATGGAAATGGACTCGAAGCACGTAAAATTATTTTTGTTCGTCCTTTCACAGTACCCAGTGTATTGCCTTCAGTAGCCGTCCCATTGTGTCAGTGACCAGAATGAATACGTATATACATTTGCCATATAAACGAAGAAAAAAATAACACAACAGAAAAAATGCACATATTCCCGTCGTTTGTCTCTTCGCCCACACCACATGATTTATACCGACCAGAGACCCGTTCACCCTTTACGCCGCCGTGGGGCGCGCGCACATACACACACTCGTATACACAAACAGCATCCTCCGCTGCCGACGGGCAGTCGCCTTGCGCCGTAAAGCTCACATTTTCCACGGCGGCACTCTCACGGCCATTCAGTTGGTGCGTGTCGTCCGAACCGGCAAAATGGTCGAATTTCGAGTTACCCGCTTTTGTCTATTGCATTATATCGTATTCGCCACAGTCACCACGACAATCGGTGCTGATGGATCCGTTTACGAAAAGATCCCTTTGGGTAAGTACTAGAAAAATTCTTAAACGACACCGAGACAATATATTGTAGTCGTGTCTTTATGGAAGTTTAAAACACGGAAAATAATGTAGTCGCATCACTTCAGTGTACATAAACTATAAAAGTCGTGTATTGCTCGGACAATTTCAACCCAGATAATATTTAATATAAAAACGAACATTTTTGTTTTGTGTTTTTTATGTATACAACAAATTAGCGAAATGTTATTAGCGAAATTCGTTAATCCAGTGGTTTGGCCAAAGTAAATAATAATAAATCGTAACGTAATTAGACGTGTTCGATTGAGTTTATCAATTTGAATATATTCAATCAAAATAAATTAAATAACATAAATTATAAAACTTAGTACAAGTACGGCAAATACGAAAATCATTGACACGTATTAATCGATATAGATGACTATTTGATTTTTTGACAAATGCGGCGTGTTAATATAATCGAATTAATTTCATTGTAAAATTGATGAAATGCAGTGGTTACTGTATCAACAGACGTACAACGCGATGATTGCGATGGCAAGATGTGTTACTAGAACACCCTCATTGTTTTAAATTTGTGTACAGTATGATATACATACAATACCCTTAGCGTTTGGTTGATTTGCATAAAATGATCATTATAATTAGAATCTGTTTCAATATCTCTGCTTGCTCACATTTTCCAGTTTTTCTCGTAAAAATATTAATAATTTATAGAATAATATTATGTTTGAAATTCATGTATTACTCGTATTGACACAACAAGATAGATTACACTTTCAAACTATATTTTCTCAATTTATAATCAATTTCAGTGTTTCACATTGAGCTACAGTGATATTTCTGGAAGTTCTCCAAAATGTGATAAAATAATATAATAGCTATAGAGCTTTATTATTATAGTCTTGGGAGCTATTATAATGAAGTGAACATACCGCAAACATAGCATACATAGAGTATTATAATTTCATAACAATACATATATTTTTATTATTGTATCATGAAAATATTAATGATAACATTGTATGAGTACAATAGTTTTTCGTTTGAAAAAGTCGATAAACTGAAATTTTTGTATTTTCAAGAAGTAAAAATAAATTAAAAAGAAATGATTTACTAGTCCGTGAAGAGGGTTGTCAGTGTTCCAAGAAAAACATTAAAATTGAAAATGATTTATGTCGCGCAAAATCTAAATAAGTATTATATAACTATTGTTCAAATTGATATTGTCAGTTATCTTGGAATTTTGTTTAAAAATCTTTTTCTAATCTCAAAGTTGTGTAGTCTTATTCAAAAATTATTGAGTTATAATAATTGTCCCTATTAACTACCTATTGAGTTAATTGATTTTCATTCTAAATAAAACAACAATTATACAAGAAAAGCAAATCGTTTGAAAGCGTTAAAAAAATAATTTCAAAAGATGGGCGGTAAATTCATTCTACAATATCTGTCGATTTTACAGATACTTGAGACAACAATGCACTCTTGGCTAACGCTTAGACAAATAATATCAAAAACGCAGAGTAACTGAAATCTGGTAGGAGTGACGGTTGTCATGTGTCTGAAGTTGACTTTAACGAAAAAAAACTCTTGCTTAGTTTTTAGATAAACATTGAACAAATTAAACTATTTATTTATTTTTTTTCATCTTCTAACAAACAAAATTTCAATCTGTTTTCGTTGATAAAATAAAAAAAAACTCCTTTACTACTAAGAGATCTTGTTATGCTCATTTTCATACAAACAGTTTTTAAAACTTTTATACAGCAAAATGGTTGATCAAGTATTCTAAATTAAAGGTTCTTGACGCTTAAATAGAAAGATAAAGTATCAGTCGTGTGACATACTTTTATTTACTTAAATCCTGATCATTCCAAAATTAATAATAAAATAGGGCAATGAGCAAATTATTTAATAGAAAATATTTTCTATATCAAACTAAAATACAGCTTTACAGAAAAATATTTCGAATTATAATTCTACAATGAATATGAATAAACTAAAATAAAATTAATAAAAATGTTGTAATAATAAAACTTTTAACTTCAATGTTTCTCTCTTAAAATACGCCTAGTTAAAAGATTTAGTACCTTAAGGTTAAACTTTTAAGGAAATTTATTAATTCTGGTTTAGTTTTTTCTTGGAAGGCTTTTGTAGTAAGTACTTGTTACTTCAGATGTNAGTTTTTTCTTGGAAGGCTTTTGTAGTAAGTGCTTGTTACTTCAGATGTATACTTTCGACATTTCTAAATAATCTGTGCTACGGTTATTATTTTGTTGCAGTGGTCACATAAGGAGACGTCATATTTTTTATGAATGATTGGATGTACTTTACGTGGTCTATCTGAATTCTTATTAGAATGGTATTTATTTTTTAATTCTAACAATGTTCCTGGATTCTTAAACATTATTTTTTGTTATTTTTTTTAAGTGTTATTAATAACATTGTTATCCCAATAATAATGCTAATTGAAGAAAGATTCTTTTTTATTATAATTAGTATTGTCATTAAGAAAAGCATAATTGGTTTTTATTGTATTAAGATTAGTGGTTGCTGATAAAGCAGCTTTATTATCTTTTTCGTTGCATCCTATATATGTATCCTATGCTGTATATTGGTATCCATATAACATTTATATTCTTGCTTTTTGTTAAAAGATTCAATATTCAGTGGACAAATGGTATTTTAGAATATGGATTTTTAATTGTATTAATGTAACTAAAAAAATCGCTAACTATTAGATATTTTGAGTGTTGGTTAAGAATACTGGTTTTGGAAATTTAAATGGCTTATTTAGTATATTTACAGTTATATCCATGTCATCATTTTCATGCTGATGTTTCGAACTCGTTGCAGAAATCCTCTTTAAGAGATAGCTACAGGTCCAAGGTTGTAACTATAATGTCAGTTTAGAATTATTTTAAATCGGTAATCATTTGATAACCGATAACGTCAAAATGATTATTTTTTGTTGTTGGTGGTGTTATTGTCGTGTTTGTTGTTTGACTGTCTGTTTTTTATGAAGTTGTTTTTACTGTTGTTTTTGATATTCAATTTTTTTTTAGTACAATAGAAGTTTATATCATGAACAAAAACAAGTATTTTGTTGTTAAAATACCATCTAGTCGAATTATGGGAGAAGTAGTTATTCTAATTGATTATTTCGATTAAACTAGTGATAATTATTTAAAAAAAAAAATTATCTGTTCAGTTAAGTTTGTGTGCAACATTGCTGCTAGCAAAAGATAAATTTATAATAGCAATGTATTCTATTGATCGGATTTATTCTGGTTAGTTTACCATTATTATTTTCAAAAGCTTTTTCATATTCATTATTTGTTGTATATAACTAGATTATGTGTTGGCTATTTTAATCACCGACTAGTAAAAAGTATTTAGGCAGTTGTTTGATTATGTTTTTAATGTCGCTTTTAATAGAGTGATATTGATAAGTATATTTACCCGACATACACTGTGATTTATTTATCATAACTCACTCAATTAATAACAGAATCAAAAAAATTAAATTTTTTTTTGATATCTTTTGCTACATATTATTCTTATATAATACTTATATAATACTTTTCAAGTATTATATAAAATTCAAATGTCATTTTACATATTACATTTTACAATTCAAAATATGTGTTCTTATTTGAAAAACTAAAGTTGACACCCTTACAAGGCATAAGGAATAAACTTAAATAGTATTACATAGCTGATAATTCAAAAATAATATGCAATTAAAGGCAACCAAAGGTAACAAAAAAAATTAAATGCGTTTAAATTATTTTTATTCAGTAAATAATTTAACAGAATATGATTAAAAATCACCCTATATAGAGTGTGATTTATTAAATATACTACCCACTATAATTTTGTCAAATTAAATATAAATAAATAATAGTAGGTTTTTATTATAAATGGGAACCTATTTTTTTATTATTTATTATTAAATAGAGAATGTCTAAATAACACGATGACAGGTCAATAACCACTATTGAATTATTTTTTCACGAGTTGTTAAAATTCTTAAGTATGGTAAAAATAGTACTTCTTAAAGACTAACCCACTCCTAAGCTTTTTTAAATCTTTAAATGATAATATCTCAAGATGTAATAATACAAAACTGGTTATCAACTTGTCGAAATATTATTTAGACATTTTTCCATTTAATATTACAAAATAATAATAGGTTCTTTTTTAACTTTCAAAAGTTACTCATACGCAAAAAAAAAAATTATCAATAAACTTCATATTTAAAATACTTTATAAAAATACTTCACAATAAATCACAATATATGTAGTGTTCAGTTAGTAAGGAAACGGGTTTCTATTGCTCTCATTGCCTGTAACAATTAACGTGTTTTCTTATTTACTCAACATTCTGTATATAAATATATAAGGTGATTTTTTTATCATAACTCAATCAATTGTAGAATAAAAATAATGTTGAATTTTTTTGGTTAGCTCTATATATATTTTGTTCTCGAATTATTAGCTATGCAATACTTTTAAAGTTTATTCCTATTGCTTGAGGGTTTCAACTTTGTTTATTTAATTGGTAACATACATTTGAAATTTACACAAATTGTTTGAGGTTTTTTTACTAGTCAATGACGCTTGAAATTTTACATAACTTCATCGATATGCCTAAAGTATGGTAGTTTATAAGGCATAATATTGTGAGTTAACTTTTAAAAATACACCAACTGCCAGTACAAAAACCATATCTGTCAATAAACGCACCGTATTTGCGAATAGCGACGCCATAAAAAAACAATTAGCTACCTGTAATTGTAATCACTCATATATAATGCATTTATTGTTTCAGAAATTTGAAATTTTAAAGTTTTATATTTAATAAGCGAATGTAGTTATGTAAAATCTTAAATATTATTTAAAATAAAGTCTCAAAAATTTTTTATAATATAAAATATGACCCAAATTATTAATTGATTTATTCATTAATTCAACTCATTTTAATTTTAACTTAAAAAT